ATGTGTGAAAACAAAGAATAGGAATTTCTTCGGGGTTTGGACCTTTAAAACATCACCCTTTCTCGGTTTTTGTGAAACTTAAACTATCATCTCTAAAAAATAAAAAATTACGCAAATGTGAACCTTTAAGTCCTCATCCTTGGAAAAAATGATATCTTCGGTGGAAAAGTTGGTCCGACCATGGCCACTAAGAATATCTTGTTAAGATTATAAACAGTGGCAGAATCAGGAATTTTGACTAAGGTTAGCTTTTCAAAATTTAAAATAATATATTGTAATTTTAAAATTTATTTTTATATTATAAATTAAAATAATACTTAACGAATTTTCACATTATAAAATTTATTTTTAATAGAATTTATACTAAAAAATTGAATTATTTTATTTTCAATATAAATAATTAAAGAGTTTGAAAGCAATTGATCTTCTATTTTGCTACGAAATTTTATTTTCACAATTTTTATGACAAAAAATACTCTTTTTATTGTTACAATTCTAATCTACTAGCCATTTTCTTGTTCTTGTCAATTTCAAATTTAAATAGGAGATCAAAAATTTAAAACTTGTTTAGAGATAACAATTGACAACCTAAAATCTTTAAGCACTTAATTAGTTATCAAGATTCCTAAAATAATATATCAGTAAATAGTGGTGGAGCACTTAATTGTCTAAGTTATCAATTATCTTTGATTCTTTAGTGGAAGAGATTCTGTAGCTCCACAGGTGAGGTTGGCAAATATGAAATATGGTAACATCATATCTCTTAACTCTGCCACTTTCTACAATCAAACAATTTTTTCCCTTTGTACAAAAGTTTTTTACAAGTTAATTACACTTTATACTAGTTTATTTTTTTTATACTAATTTATCTTCTTATTGCTTTTCTCTATATGACTATATCCAAGGTTTTTTTCTTCATTGAGTTCATATATATTCCCTTTATGGGTCTATACTTTCTTTTCAATTTTTTTACTTAGATCCAATTATATTCCATATAACTTTAATATAACTTCAATGCTATCATAATATTCAATTTTATTTATAATCTCAACAATTTTAAATCTTAAAAGGAAATTATACAATTTTTTGTGATAATAAAAAATCAATAAATTTCATTACTTAAATATTACTCCTTCCATACTAAAATAATAAATTTTTTTTTATCTTCAAATGAGGGATTTAAAAATAATTTCTATTTTTTCCTTAAAAACAATTGCTTGCGTCAGGGACCCGACAGAGTTTCTCTTTTTTTTTTTTTTAGTTGTTGGATTGAGATTGCAGGAGATTAGCACTGGCACAATGGGACTGGATATTGGAGAAATGACGTAGAAGACACCAAAATCTATTTTTGTTTTTTTTTTTTTCTACATAATTTAGTTGTGGGGTTTGAGATGGATGGGTTTTAAATAATAACCAAAAAAATTAAATTTGTAAAATAGATAATTGATTATATAGATTATATTTAGATTTTTAAAACAATCCATTATTATTAGATTTTTTTATTTTATGCATTTTAATAATTAAAAATATAATATTTAAAATTTTAATATTAATTAATTAATTATATATTTTTCTTTTCAAATCCCAGGAGGCCACCGCTCCCCCTCGTCTATACATAGCTCCGCCCCTGTTCTCCTCTTCATTTTTCTGTATACAAAACGATTACAGTCAATGCATTTTGTCTGTAGTATCATCACAGGTGCTCCCCAGTCTCCAGATTCCATCTTTTCTTGAAAAGCTAATGCAAAAAATAGTAAAATAATTAAAGTTTTGTCATCTTA